GCAAGAGGCCTGCCACGGCCATGCAGTTTGTAAAGCAAAATAAGTGTCTGTGTTTACTTGGTTGGGTCTGAGCGGCTGTGGGATTGGCGGGTGACAGAGATTTGTCCTGACCGTGGGCAAGGCAGGAAAAATCAAGCTACACCTACCTATCCCTTAATTTGTAAGTTACGCCATTGAATAAATATCCTTTTAACTACGTGGAGTGGCCATAATAATTTCACCAATATCTGGCGCCCAACGTGGGGCACGAACCCACGACTCCGAGATTAAGAATCTCATGCTCTACCGACTGAGCTAGCCGGGCTGGCGACTCTGCGTGGTCAACCTCCACCGTTCAGGGTCCCGGCACAGAGAGAGCACACAGAGAGAGCTCTGGCCCATCCAGCTCTAGGGTCTCCAGGTGCCTCCCCTGGCCCCCCCTCGTAGGCGTGACAGTTGCCAGAGTCTCAATGGGGGTTGGAACTTCCAGATACCCACTTCATCGGCCATTTTATTCAAACCACCACAGTTAGGAAGGGAGTCCTGCTGAGGCTTGTAACCCCACGCTAGAGTACTTTCTTCATGCCTGCCTCTGCTACTGCTGCAACTCTGTTTTTCTTGTACACTCCTTCCTTTATAAACCCTTAACATTTTTTGCTGGGCTTCAGCTTTGGAAAACAATAAACCCAAAGTGTTTTCTCTTATATCCGTCCACAGGCCCAACTTCTGAGATGACACTTTTATCAATAAGAAAGGAAAAGGTGGATGTAGAAGAGAAAATCAAATGTGATGCATGTATGTGATAGCTTTTGGTAACATGGAATTATTCACTGGAGTTTTTGGAGTGGATTCACAATGAAGGGTTTATTTATTCCACTTGAGACTGATATAAATCTAGCTTCCATAAACCTTGTATGGCATCACAGAAGAACTGCCTATTTAAACTTGACCTTGCAGTTTGGAAGAAGGATACATATATCTGAGGAGTACAATTTTAAGAATTAATTTATCATAATATTTTTGTATTTCTTACATGAAGGACAAGAAAAAATAGAATGAACACTTGAGACATCTGAAAGTTAAACTTTAACAGTTAAATTCGTGGGGAATTTAGTTTGGATTAAGAATTGTGGTAAGGAACCAAACCATCTGGCCTATTGTGGGCATTGTGTGTGTGTGTGTGTGTGTGTGTGTGTGTGTGTGTGTGTGTGTGTGTGTGTCTGTGTGTGTGTGTGTAATTAATATGACATAAGAAATGCTTATCTGGGGAAGGGGAGGATTACAGCCTTTTGTCCTCTGCAGAATGCCATTCACTGGGTTGACACAAGAAAACACACGCAGATGTTCCTCAACTTATGATGCATGTACATATTGCTAATCCATGAGTTGAAAATACATTCATTGTGCCTCACCTATCCAGCATCTCAGCAACACGCCATAGCACAGCAGTTATCTCCTCCTGTGATTTCGTGACTGACTGAGAGCAACAGCTGGACCACTGCTTAACCCTGAGACAGGATAATACCTCATACTGCTAGCCCAAAGCAAGTTTAAACCTTAAAATTCCAAAAGATTTCTACCAAGCGCGTATCTCTTCAACATGTTTTCAACAAATTAAGTGAGTATAGGTTATGGACTGTCTTCACGTCATCTTTTTACTCTAACTTCTAATTCTGAAAATACTTTCTCAGAGTACTTATATGTTCACACCTGTGTACTCGTGATAAAATTAACAATGCATTGATCCTTATAATAATCTTATTTGTGGAATGCTTTAGAAAAGGCCTTGGGAGTTCAGCAGCAATTACCTTTATATTCAGACATTGTTGGTAGGCTGATTCACAAATTCTCTCCTTTATTCACAATATTGCAAAGCAATGAAGAACATTCTCAGTCATGACTCCCTAGCATAGTTTGGCTCTAAGCAATACACCTCCTTTTGTGATTCTTAAACACCACCTGCTTTTGTCAGATTGGCTCATATCTTCTATGCACTTCCATTTCATCAAAGTGAAGATGTGAATGATGATGGTGGTGATGGTGATGATGATGATAACCATCTTGTTACCTAGAGAATATAACATTGACATGGATATAGTTATAGATATGTGCTATCAAATGAAATTAAATTTCCTTCCATCTTGCCATTTTGGATGCTAATTCAGAACCCTGCAAGGATTGGCCTAAATCTTGAGTACAAAAAAAAAAAAAATGAGGCTGATATACTGAAATTTTCAGTGATATCAAAATTCAGTATAGAAGATGAAGCAAAGTTTATGTAGCCTTGAGAGTTCAAGAAAAACAGTCACACTTGTGCATTGGAAAAGATAGAATTCAATGCAGACCAGTCCAGGAAATGCCAGTTCATTTATATGGTAACTCTTCATCCTCAACTTGAGAATCGTGGGAGCAGCTGTGCATTTCTCTTTATTTCCAAAATTCAGTCCAAGCTCTATCTTGACCCACTGTGCAGTTTGCAAGTTTGTTTCTCACTCTCTTCATATCCTTCATGCCTGTAGAGACCTTAAAATCATGCCACTTCACTGCTACGGTAGAAGACACATGGGGACCTTACCAACTATGCTCAGCTAGTCTCCAGCGTATTTTCCTCCTGGGCATCTCTTGACTCTCTGAGAGACTCTCTGCCTCCATGATTGAAGCAATCACGTTGAAAACTCTTTTGTTTCTATTTCTAACATGCGATGGTAGTGGAGTTCTCCTGTTCTTCTAGTTATATTTATCCATCCTTTTCACATTTTAGGAAGTAAAGTCAATATTTCTGGGTCAGAGACTGAGTCAAAGAACTAGTCATTTTTTTTTAAGAAATGAGAAAGTCTCTGGAATTTTCAGTCATATTCTTGTTTGTAGTTGGCACGTTCTTCACTGGTTGTGGGTAAGAGAAATGCATTCACATCAGTTGCTCTCTGTGATTGTGTCATTTATTCTTACTCCACTACAGGCACAACCAAGATAATGACTGCCCTCTGCTATGGAGAACCACAGACAAAGGAGTTGCAGATGGAAGGCTTAAGAGTTTATTTGCAAACCAGGACAATGATCAAATTTCTTCCAAAGGAAATAAGTAAAAATTAAGTCATTCACTAAGCAATGTGCTATTTTCCCAACTGAAATAGGAAATGAACTATTTGTAAATAATATAGGAGCAAGTCTTGTCCAGCAATTAGGGTGAACAATTTTGAGGCTCAGCTGTGTAGCATGCATACAATGCTCAGATGATGAGTATGCATGTGTGTGAGAGCATGTCTGTGTGTGATTATGTTCTTGATACTCAAAGATGGTGTTAATGACATGAAGTATATCAGAAGTTAGAATGACCAAGGTTTGGGTAACAGTTTGATAGAGTCAACTCTCTTTCAAACTAACTTGATGTCTCTGTTATCAAGCTATTAAGCAACTATTTATTCTAATGAGCAAGCTTGATTATACCTCTGAAAACTATTCATTGCTTCCCTACTCAATGTAAGGGAAATCAATTAAAGCTTTTATTTTCTTAATTTTAAATGAAAAATAAAAATGAAACTTCCCATAATACGGGTCTACTTCTCTCTCAAAGCTCATTTGGGGCAGACAGAATAGATTTAAGGGAGGAAGCTATTTTTGCTCATGGTGGGAAGGCATGACATCTTGGGCAGCTCCATCTGAAGCATTAGGTTCCTTACACCACGAAGCAAAACTCTCAGTCCAGAACCAGAAACAAAATAAGTCACCTTTAAGGTCCATCCCTAGAGATCTACTTCTGCTAGTACAGCCACAATCCCAAAACTCTGCTACCAAGTAGGAACCAAGGGTACAAAATATATGTGCTACTAGGGGACATTGCACATTCAAACAAGTTATCTACCTTGTAAAATGAGAGGGTTGTCATAAAGAATTAGGAAAGGCCATTTTTATTTCCAAGCATTTAATAGTCTCTACTCAATTGAACCAGTTAATAGAATCAAAATAAGATTAAAATCACAATTATGTTTTATCCCTTTCAGTTAACTATGAAAAGAAAAAACAATAAAGAGGGACATGATATATTTTTCAGAGTCCCTAGTCAATAAGAACAAAAGTGGTAAGAAGGGAGAGGAAGAGAGAGAGACAGAGAGAGAAGGTAAGTATATGAAATGATGAAGTGGGGTTTGACAGAGATCGTCATCATCTGGGAGCTGGTTTAGCTCTGTGGGTCCTCCAGCAAGCCATTCTTGCGACCTTTTCTACAACCATTCAGAGCATTGATTCTGCAGCATGTTCGTATAAAATCTACTGAGAGAAACTGGAGTCCAAGTTTGTTCCAACCCACAGCAGATTGTGTTAATAGAGTGTGATGAGTCTGAGATGGAATGATGATGATGATGGTGATGGTGAACTTGATCTTGATAAGGAAGAGAAAGAACATTCTAGCACCTCACATTCCACAGTCCCTTCCAGTCCTCATTAATCTTCTTCTAGTTAATTAATGGGAAAACTAACTTTAACATTCCACTATTAAGTCTAGGAATTTAACAGAGTTCCATGAATGTTTCCACCAGAATTCATTCCAAATGTTCTTCCTCTTTCATATTAGGACCTTTACAGAAGAACCAGAGTCATTTCTCAGTTCATTCATGATGCTATGACAAAATTCTATAAGGTGGGTGGTTTATAAAGCATATTTTTCTAAGTCTAGAGGCTACAAGGTCCAAGTCAAGATGTAAGATGTAAGTTAAATTGGTGTCTGGTAAGGTCTTCCCTCTAACAAACATCTGCTCACACTTCCCTCCAAGTATCACTTTAATTAGAACCTTGATAAGAGGAATAGGTATTCGGTAAAATGGTAATTGAGTTCTTTATTTTCTGAAATCTTATTCTTGTTGAAAGTATACTCTTTCCTTTTAGGCCATTCTCCAGAGATGTAAGAAGCTGGGCATAAATTAGAGTCCCATCTAAATTGTCAACTGTTCAGATTTAAGTAACTTATAGTAGACTAGCTAAGTGATGCCTGATTCCACATCTTTGAAATGCCAGCTGTTAATATCAAATATCACTAAAACAATACTTCAGAATTCTCCATTAGAAATAAGTTTAAATTAATCTAATACAATAGAAAATCCCATCCATATATGAAGGTGGTCTTAGTGAAATCACCTAATTAATCGGGAACACAGAGTCCCAACTAGCCATCTCTTGTCACCAAAAGAAGCTTCTGAGGCTGGGATTGGGTTACACCTAATTGAGTTGTTGGCTAAAGGAGCCCCGTGAGAATTCCCCAACAACCCAGGTTGTTGCCAAGACTATAAGTTGCTCTTCACAAACAGACAGCAAGGCCCCATTGCTGAAGACAACACCTATACAACTCATTGAACATAGACATATCAAGCCAGTGCCTACATGGAGCCTTTACCCCTGTGTTCCAGGGTGTTCGGTACAGGGAGGTACTCTGCATGCTAGCAAAAGAGAAACATAAACCCAACCCAGCCACAACCCCTTTTCCTACAAGTGTGTACTGTCTGCAAGATATGCTAGGGTGGCCTACATAGTCCCTTCTGTCATGAAGACTACAGAAGTTAGCCAGCAGGAAGAGTTTCCTGCTCAGGTCCAACAGCAACTGAAGTGTGTTCTTTCTTCAGAAATAGGATGTTGCCTTCTAGGTATGGTAGACAACCAACAGCAATGGCCATAGAATGTGTTATTTCTGGATGACGCAAGGGTATCCCTGACCAGTAACTCATAGGGGGTATATTTCTATATGGCATCTTCATGTATCCTTAGTTTTGGCTAACCTACGCCCTCCCTTTCCTCTTCCCAATCTCTCTATCCCCTATTTTAAACCTTTAGCCCCAAGTATTCCTTTATTCTTTCAGGCCCCCTGTGTTCTACTATTCCCTCTCATTGAATTTTTCCTGACCTAGAAGATCACACATAATCATATACCTTTTAAACACCTTTCATTTTTGTTACATCTTCTGTCAATACCTCATTTCACCATTTACTTCATCTATTTGTAGCTTAGGTTATCCCAAACAGGTATATCTGTAGAAATAGTGTTGTAAAATTACACTTTTTTCTTTTCTTTTCTTTTCTTTTTTTTTTTTTTTTACTTCATCTTAGGTTCTGTTTTTGTCTTGTTTTGCTTCATTTTTTTTTTTGGTTTGGTGTGTGTGTGTGTGTGTGTGTGTGTGTGTGTGTGTGTGTGTGTGTGTGTCTTATCTCATGTTGGCCTCAAATTTTCAGTCCTTGCCTTTGCCTCCCCAGTGCTGGGTTACAAGACTGTACCATCATGCCTAGCTTGTCCTGTCATGTTTTATAATTTCCCTTCCTTTGCATCTGAAACTTAGATATCATCTCCTCTGACCAGAGCCATCAATGCCACCCACAAATTGTTTAAACAGCACTCTATGAGAATGAGCTCGTTGTATAGGAGTCATCAAAAAGCAGAACACGTACTCCATAAAACGTCTATAGAACACCAATGTGCAACTCTATCATGAGTTTTCCGTCTTTTCCAGAGGGGTATTATTAATTGTTTCAATTATTATTATTGAAAGAGTCCCAAAAGATTGCAGTGTGATTAGAACAAGAGTACAAACATTTTAGCAAATATATCAACTGCTTATGAAATAAATTGCTGTTCCAGAGCCAACTTATTATTGTAAGCCATGTTATGCAATAAAATAGAAACACCCCTAAATGGACACAGTCTTTTATTATCTTTTCAGAGTAAATTATAGTATTGTTCAAGTAACTTTTGGTATGTGTACTACTTTATCTTCATTACAAAGGAAAAGATTTGGATATGGGCTTTGGAGAAAATTATGGCCTCATCAGGACACAAATAAATTACATGTGGCCCATTAAAACAGATCAGTGTGATTCAGATAGCATTTACTAATAGTACTTGCTTTGGAGTGTTACAGCTCATTTCCAGATCATGTATTACTGCACTGTATTTACCCTCATATAAAATTCTTTTTCTCTGGTGAATTGTATGCTTTAGTTCTTAATCTCAGTACTTTGCTACCAAAAGTTAAATTTTCAACTGCAGTCATTTGCAGTTTGACATCCAATCTTGACCATACAAAAATCACCATTGGCCTTGATCACACTTAATGGCATATAGGATGATGAAGTATGAATGCTCAAAGAAATAAATATTTTTTGTCAAGGTGAACTTTTTATATGGCACTGTGCTCTATGCCAACAGAAAGAATTAAAGAGCAAAAAATAGTTATGTCAATCTAGCAATTCCAATATTTTGAAAAACATTTTATATTTTTTAAAACTAAGATCTGTATATTTTAGTTTACTTAACATAATTTAACTGTACAGACAAGTTTATTTAATGCATGGATTTTCTTATTTGTCTTAGTAGGTTGCATAGATATGAAAACTCTTGGCTGGTTGAAAGCTTTCAAACGTGCTTTATATTTCTAATGATGTCAGGTAAGAAAAAAAAGGTTTAAAGGCTACCAGATGTTTATTTCACAACTGGATGGATCTGCTGTCTATCAGCTACATTGGAATAGGCTTAATGTAATATGCTTTTAAATTAATGTAATTTAGGAATAAAATGCTCCTGCTGCTGCTGCTGCTGCTGCTGATGATGATGATGATGATATATTGTGAGGATGGTATAGGGTGTGGTACTGGGGTGCTAACACTTTTGTCATGGTAGTCTGGTATGATTAAGGTGTAACGTGATGCTAGCTGTGACAGTTCGATGTGAAGACCAATGGTGTGCTATGATGGTGTAGAATAACATGGAAAGTGACAAGCTGCAATGAGATTGTAGTTCACGTTTTCTGGCTGGTACAGCTTTTTGTGTGAAAAATGATTCTGGAAGACCAGAATCTTAAGGATAAGTTTCTGAACTGGCTCTGGATTTCCTGAAGTGAGTGATTAATGTTATTTCATTTAAAGGTTCTAATGATTCATTTTCCAGCAGTATAGAGGGAACTGGAAGTCTACCCTGCAATTAGTAATATGCAAAACGACTTTATTTGGGTATTGACTGCAAATAAGTGGTATTCTGTGAATTGGAATAAAAATGTGTGGACAGATCCTTTTAAAGATTGGGGTGCCAAACTCTCGGTTTCTGAACAGCCTTTTCACCCCAATAGAGGTAACCTTTGTATATGTGATGGAGGGATTTGACTCTGTTTTAACGGGAGGATCTATAATAGTTTTCCCTAAGGTCTTACAAGATACTCCTGA